AATTGCTCCAGTTCTAGATTTAAAAAGTAGGCATAAGTCTGAGATATCTCTCTGAACTCAAGAGGGAGAATCTTGATCTTCGCGAGTCTGTCGGCATACGTTAGGTCCTGTGGATAGTCAAGAATAAACTTTGTTGCCCTCCGCTGGACATTTTCGACTAGTCTCTTATGCTTGATGGTATAAGGTGACCATAAGCTGCTGGCATATTCTAGAATGGGCCTCACGAGAGCGCAGAATAGTAATTTTCTCACTCTTTGGTCGTGGGTATCCTTGCAAGTTCGTTTGACAAGTCCGAGTGTTCTGTTGGCTTTGGCCACCGTTTCTTCTATGTGTCATGACCACGACATGTCACTGCATACAGTCACACCAAGATCTTTGACGTATGGAACACATTCCAGAGGTTGACCGTCTAAATAGTACTGAGATACAATCTTCGTCTTCTTTCTCGAGACCCGTAGTGCTTGACATTTAGATTTGTTAAACTTCATCGCCCAGTCGAGACTCCATTTATGAAGGTTATTCAGGTCGTTTTGGAGGCGAAGGGTCGAGTCAGGAAGGTTGATGGGTTTATAAAGTTTGGAGTCATCGGCAAACAGGGCAATGGTTGATTGGGAATTGATGTAGCTGGGGAGATCGTTGACGTAGACGAGGAACAAGAGAGGACCAAGTATGGAACCTTGGGGGACACCGGATGTTATTGGAAGCCAGAATAAACACCATCAAGAACAACTCTTTGATATCTGTCCGTGAGATAGCTGCTAAACCACGAGAGAAGAGATCCTGAGATGCCATAACTGTTCAGTTTTAAAAGTAGTAAACTATGTGGGACCTTGTCGAAGGCTTTAGATAGATCTAAGTAAATGATATCTACTTCCCTTCCCGATGCAACGGTTTCTATGATGTTGTGATAAACCTCCAAAAGTTGCGTTACCGTTGATCGTCCGCGCAAAAACCCGTGTTGAAGGTGGTATAACAGGGGTTGGATTCTATCGATGGATCCTCTTTCTTGAAGACAGGGGATATGTTGGCGAATTTCCACTCTGACGGCACTACACCCAGGGAAAGGGAAAGGTTGAACAATCTGCACAAAGAGGGAGCGATCTCGTGCGCGACTTCTTTCAACAATCTACAAGGAATACCGTCTGGTCCACTAGCCTTGTTTGGATCTAAGTTACTCAATACTGCAGCAACTTCCTCTTCAATCAGTTCGATCTCCGATAGCTGATTATCAAGGGGTTTGGAAGGAGTTGGAAAGGAAGCAGGAGGTTCAATGTTACTGGGGTTAAAAACTGAGTGGAAAAAAGTGTTCAAGAGGTTGGCTTTCTCACGACTATCTGTGATATATGATTGTCCATTTCTCAGAAAATTCGGACTTTGGCTTGATCTTGTTGAAGATTTCACGTATGACCAGAAACGTTTAGGGTTTTCGAAAACACTATTTTTCATCTTGTTTGCATGTTCGATCTTCTTTTTAGCGATAAGAATCTTGGATTCACGACGCAACTGTTTGAATTTTGCAATGGCTTCTGGACTCTTCGACTTACGCGATTTCTTTCGCTGAATGTTTTTCTTTTTGAGCAGAGCCAAAAGTTCTTAGTCAATCCAAGGGGGGTCATACACGCAGCGGGTTGTACGTTTGGGAATGTGATCATTCACGGCAGAGATGAAGGACTCACACCAACTGGAGAGTAATGTGTTAATATCATCAGAAGCAAAACCAAGTTCCCATGGTATATTTGCTAATACTTGTTTTAAACCCGACCAATTCGCGTTTTTGAAATTATACACTGAACGTTTGACTTTCGGTTTTTTACAAATCTTGAATTCGACATCGAAGCTTATGAGTGTGTGATCTGTACTAATAATGGCCTCGAATCCATGCACGTTTATAACTTTTTCTGGAATATTGGTAAGAAGCAGGTCCAGAGTGTTGTTAATTCGGGTTGGAAAGTCAACTAGCTGCCATAAGTAATTATCTTTGACAGTTTTAGTGAAGAAATTGTGAATTGAGTCATTGTTTGTAGCTACTCCGGTAGACCAATCGATATGTGGAAGGTTGAAGTCACCACACACAATTAAAGAATCAAACTTTGCTTTAGAGGCAAGTGTTAAGGCTTTCTTAAGTTGCTTGATGTAGTCCAGATTTGTGTTGGGCGGTCTGTAGAATACAAGAACCAACAGTTTTTTTCTGGATTTCGGGCGAATTTCACAGGCGAGCATTTCTGTGCTGTCGCTTTCGAGATCTTTTCTACGTAAGTTAAATATATTGTTCCGGACTGCTAACAGAACCCCACCTCCAATTCTATCAGCTCGATCCTTTCGATGGATTGTAAAATTTTGACCTGGTAGGAGTTCACAATTCCCTATTTCAGCATTAAGCCACGTCTCAGTTATTGCAACAATATCAAAGTCAGTTACTAGTGCTTGAAATTCAATTGTTTTGTTTACTAAACTTCGGGCGTTGAAATAAAGACATCGCATGTTGTGATCTAACTGTTGTGGTGGAACGTGTTCAGGTGTATCTTCTGGACCCGGATTCATCTCTACGTCATTTGCCAAGAGGATTAACAAAAGCGGCAAAACCGACCTTTGTAGTAATTTCAGGCCATTTGAGAATCGAAGAACTGATAGGGAGTTTATGTGTTTCCTCACGCGACAAGCTTGAACAAAACACGGTGGTGAAAGAGCTTTCGTTGATGCATAAAACAAGTTTATTTTGCTTTCTTCAGTGACTTGAAAACCACGTAAAATTAACCACAAAAAGAATAGAAAGTAGCTCAATTTGGCTGCAATCATGTTCAATAATCAGGAAAAATCTGTTCTAATCAATTCTAGTTTGCGTACGCGATCCAACTTTCTTCAATTAAACTTGCGAGATTGCGTGTTCGTTTGCACTCGCCAGTATCAACCGTCCCTTGTTTGCGTGTGCAGGAAAAGACAACGGAAACTTCAATTCAACGTTAAATCCAACAAATTATTCAGCCAATAATAACGATAATTTCAAAAAAACCTTATATCTTTAATCCAGGAGACTTTAGCCAATGTTTTGTAAGTTTTTTTACTCAGAACTTCAATCACAAAGTGTAAAATCCTTAGGATTTTACGGAGCTCTGCGGCGCATGCCCGCCGCGCACGATCACAAAATCGACACATTCTTGCAGACAATACCATGCATACTGTAAGATAAGACTTTTGTACTAAATAATACTGAGTCTGGGATTTCTATTTCATGTTAAACATAGACTTACTTCATATTAGTCATTTACAGTATTAATGAACTGAAATGATATTTGGTGCACCCAGGCACAGAATAACGTACACAGAAGGCCTTTGTTTTTCTTATGATTTTCCTATGATTTTGGCATAACTATAATTCGTCATCCAAATGCTGACACCATGGTCCTAGCCAGTGCGCGTTTGAGAGGCATTCACTCCCCTGATAATATTCAAAATGGCAGACGTACAGGGAGGAATGCCTCTCATACCCGCACTGGCTAGGACAATGGCGTCAGCATTTTGATGATGAATCATGTCGTGGCAGCAGTTACTCGAGTCGACCTTCTGTCATGGTAACACGATAATTTTTTAAGAATATTCTTACAAATAAAAAATCCCCTAAAAATATCACTTTTAATTACAAAATTATTAATTTCCCAACATATATATGTTAGGTATGTTATTATACATAATATAAGCCTCAATTTAAGGTAAAATTCGACCACAAATGCTTCGCAAAACGTTTTAAAGTCACTAATGTTCTTTATAAAACTAAAGTTACTGCCTTTTAAAATGGCTTTATCGATAAACTTTGAGTTTGCAATAAAATGATTTAAAATTCTCACTTGCAAATAACTTTGCTTTCTTTTTTATTAAAAAAATTCAATATCATAAAAAAGGGAATCAATATTAAAGATACACTGAAATTATATGCTGTCTTGTTTAGTTGTTTCATTATACGCAAAGGCCGTCGGGTTTTAAACCATTATAAAATCAATATTTAAAACAAACTTACCTTCGTTAACATCGGCTCCCTTCTATTAGACGACTCTTTCGCAGTTGCTTTCTAAGAGAGCTATTGAAATTTACAAAATCTTGCAAAAATGCATGCAAAAATGAAGTATATTTGCAAGAAATTTATCAATCATCAAATCAAGAAATGTTTGCTATTTCGCTGTCATCATGCAGTCGTTATAATGCAAACTTTAAATTGGACCAATCAGTGTCTGCTATTCATGACAGTCCACCATATTTTTGAGATCAGTGAGGATGACCACCCACCCAACACCGTTGGTCATCCACGCCCGCAATAATTGATGAACTTTAGACTCCGCTAATGCTTTCGTTTCCCCGGGTGTAAATAGCCGGTGGGAATTAGTGCCCTCGCACGGCACTTTGCGCCCTTGGCTCGGGGAAAACTTTGCAGCCAATGGCTGAATTGAGTTAAATATTAACTATTGACTTATAACTAAGGAGGATAAAAATATTTATAAGAAAAAACTACAGTTAAAACAGTGCAGTTAGTAAAGGTAATTACATGGGGCCAAGTAAAATAAATGTTTACTCCCTTGTTAGTTTCACACATGTTTTCAAAGTTTCACAAAATTGCAAGAGTAAGAATTAAAAACCTTGTCCATTGGGAATGAAAAAAAGATTATTGTAAATATTATTATACTTGTCAAGTATGTAGTATTACTGTACTGTGTTATATAGTAAAGTTAGTAATAGTTACCTTCATGAAAATGTTCTTGCTGAGTACAGTACAGTACGGTAGTTCAGTTAAAGGTTCACATTGCAGAAAAAACTGCTCCTATTTAATGACCCTTCTCCAGATTCATCTTGGGTGCCATCATCCATATCTTCATCTTGGGAATCCATCATTGAAAACAAACTTGAGTCATCATGAATTTCATCCCAATCCATAGTGCCAAATAGTTATTCACACATTGAGTCAGACAAATCTGGAATATCACCAACGTCACCAAACACCTCATCAAGAACTTTTAATACTCCACTGCATGTTGTTCATGCCACACTTCAACATACTTCTTAACATCACAAAAAGTAAATATTTTGTTACTGTTTTCAATAACACTAACAATTTGTGTATTCCCAAATTCAAGTACAACAGTTGGTAATGACACTGTGTTACTCAATTGTTGCGTTTGTTCTTTTATTAGATGATTTCTAAAATCTTTCAATTTGGCTTTTAAAAGATTCTTCTGCTCATGACTGACAGGTCTTGTTTTTCCAGTGTTTTCATTTGAAGTCATAGTCTTTGAGTCTGGAATATTTAGTCCAATGTTTGACTTACAATCATCTTCACCACATTCACATGCGATTGCACAATTGTCACAACAACTGCGTCTATTTGATGCAACATGCTGGTATCCAAATGCTTTCATGAGCAATTCTCTTCTGCATGTCTTGTCACTACAAAGAAACTCCTTCATGTCTTGTCTACAATGTGTAGAAAGCAGGCCATTAAACAATAATATGCACTTACTTTGGCACCCATCCCTTCCTGCATGCCCACTCTCCTCGATATAACATTCAATATTCTTAGATGGCCCAAAGTGAATAATTCATCTGAAACATCTATCAATTTCGATTATGACAAGACATACCCAATACAGGCTGAGCTATCCACCTTTACCCCTGTAACATCTGAAAATCTTGGGAAATTAATTGATAAAATGTCAAGTAAATCGTGTCAACTGGATCCTATACCAGCTTCTGTTTTCAAAAAGTGTGGCCATCTATTACTTCCTGTGATAACAGACATTGTTAATCTTTCTCTGCATCATGCATTGGTCCCACCCAGTTTGAAAATGGCACTTCTGCTACCATCTATGAAGAAACCGTCTCTGGATCATGAAGAGTTCTCAAGCTTTCAACCAATTTCCAATTTGAAATTTTTGTCAAAGGCTGTTGAAAAAGTTGTTGCGTTCCAAGTTGATACTTATATTAGGGATAATAACTTGTATGAAGTGTATCAATCAGCCTATAAAAACTATTCAGTTAAAGTTCAAAATGATATTCAGTTAAAGTTCAAAATGATATTCTCCTGGCATTAGACAATCGGTCATTTTCGTGACTCTTTTACTACTGTCTTGTCATCTGGAAATCCTCGTGCCCACTTTGTAACTTTTCATCAACATCACTATTATTGCTCAATTTAACTTACTATGAATGGATTTTGGTGACTCTTTTACTACTGTCTTGTCATCTGGAAATCCTCGTGCCCACTTTGTAACTTTTCATCAACATTACTATTATTGCTGAATTTAACTTACTATGAATGGATTTTGGTGACTCTTTTACTACTGTCTTGTCATCTGGAGATCCTCGTGCCCACTTTGTAACTTTTCATCAACATTACTATTATTGCTCAATTTAACTTACAATGAATGGATTTTGGTGACTCTTTTACTACTGTCTTGTCATCTGGAAATCCTCGTGCCCACTTTGTAACTTTTCATCAACATTACTATTATTGCTCAATTTAACTTACTATGAATGGATTTTGGTGACTCTTTTACTACTGTCTTGTCATCTGGAAATCCTCATGCCCACTTTGTAACTTTTCATCAACATTACTATTATTGCTCAATTTAACTTACTATGAATGGATTTTGGTGACTCTTTTACTACTGTCTTGTCATCTGGAAATCCTCGTGCCCACTTTGTAACTTTTCATCAACATTACTATTATTGCTCAATTTAACTTACTATGAATGGATTTTGGTGACTCTTTTACTACTGTCTTGTCATCTAGAAATCCTGGTGCCCACTTTGGAACTTTTCATCAACATTACTATTATTACCCAATTTAACTTACTATGAATGGATTTTGGCGACTCTTTTACTGCTGTCTTGTCATCTAGAAATCCTCGTGCCCACTTTGGAACTTTCATCAACATTACTATTATTGCTGAATTTAACTTGCTATGAATGGATTTTGCTGACTCTTTTACTACTGTTTTGTTATCTGGGAATCCTCGTGCCCACTTTGGAACTTTTCATCAACATTACTATTATTGCTCAATTTAGCTTACTATGAATGGATTTTCGTGACTCTTTTACCACTGTCTTGTCATCTGGAAATCCTCGTGCCCACTTTGGAACTTTTCATCAACATTACTATTATTGCTGAATTTAACTTACTATGAATGGATTTTGGTGAGTCTTTTACTACTGTCTTGTCATCTGGAAATCCTCGTGCCCACTTTGTAACTTTTCATCAACATTACTATTATTGCTCAATTTAACTTAGTATGAATGGATTTTGGTGACTCTTTTACTACTGTCTTGTCATCTGGAAATCCTCATGCCCACTTTGTAACTTTTCATCAACATTACTATTATTGCTCAATTTAACTTACTATGAATGGATTTTGGTGACTCTTTTACTACTGTCTTGTCATCTGGAAATCCTCATGCCCACTTTGGAACTTTCATCAACATTACTATTATTGGTGAATTTAACTTACTATGAATGGGATTTTGGTGACTCTTTTACTACTGTCTTGTCATCTGGGAATCCTCGTGCCCACTTTGGAAATTTTCATCAACATTACTATTATTGCTCAATTTAACTTACTATGAATGGATTTTGGAGACTCTTTTACTACTGTCTTGTCATCTGGAAATCCTTGTGCCCACTTTGTAACTTTTCATCAACATTACTATTATTGCTCAATTTAACTTACTATGAATGGATTTTGGCGACTCTTTTACTAGTGTCTTGTCATCTGGAAATCCTCGTGCCCATTTTGTAACTTTTCATCTTTTCATCAACATTACTATTATTGCTCAATTTAACTTACTATGAATGGATTTTGGTGACTCTTTTACTACTGTCTTGTCATCTGGAAATCCTCATGCCCACTTTGTAACTTTTCATCAACATTACTATTATTACTCAATTTAACTTACTATGAATGGATTTTGGTGACTCTTTTACTACTGTCTTGTCATCTGGAAATCCTGGTGCCCAATTTGGAACTTTTCATCAACATTACTATTATTACCCAATTTAACTTACTATGAATGGATTTTGGCGACTCTTTTACTGCTGTCTTGTCATCTAGAAATCCTCATGCCCACTTTGGAACTTTCATCAACATTACTATTATTGCTTAATTTAACTTACTATGAATGGATTTTGGTGAGTCTTTTACTACTGTCTTGTCATTCTGAAATCCTCGTGCCCACTTTGTAACTTTTCATCAACATTACTATTATTGCTCAATTTAACTTACTATGAATGGATTTTGGTGACTCTTTTACTACTGTCTTGTCATCTGGAAATCCTCCTGCCCACTTTGTAACTTTTCATCAACATTACTATTATTGCTCAATTTAACTTACTATGAATGGATTTTGGTGACTCTTTTACTACTGTCTTGTCATCTGCAAATCCTCGTGCCCACTTTGTAACTTTTCATCAACATTACTATTATTGCTCAATTTAACTTACTATGAATGGATTTTGGTGACTCTTTTACTACTGTCTTGTCATCTGGAAATCCTCATGCCCACTTTGGAACTTTCATCAACCTTACTATTATTGCTGAATTTAACTTACTATGAATGGGATTTTGGTGACTCTTTTACTACTGTCTTGTCATCTGGGAATCCTCGTGCCCACTTTGGAACTTTTCATCAACATTACTATTATTGCTCAATTTAACTTACTATGAATGGTTTTTGGTGACTCTTTTACTACTGTCTTGTCATCTGGAAATCCTCGTGCCCACTTTGTAACTTTTCATCAACATTACTATTATTGCTCAATTTGACTTAGTGTGAATGGATTTTGGTGACTCTTTTACTACTGTCTTGTCATCTGGAAATCCTCATGCCCACTTTGTAACTTTCATCAACATTACTATTATTGCTGAATTTAACTTACTATGAATGGGATTTTGGTGACTCTTTTACTACTGTCTTGTCATCTGGAAATCCTGGTGCCCACTTTGGAACTTTTCATCAACATTACTATTATTGCTCAATTTAACTTACTATGAATGGATTTTGGTGACTCTTTTACTACTGTCTTGTCATCTGGAAATCCTCATGCCCACTTTTGAACTTTCATCAACATTACTATTATTGCTGAATTTAACTTACTATGAATGGGATTTTGGTGACTCTTTTACTACTGTCTTGTCATCTGGGAATCCTCGTGCCCACTTTGGAACTTTTCATCAACATTACTATTATTGCTCAATTTAACTTACTATGAATGGATTTTGGTGACTCTTTTACTACTGTCTTGTCATCTTGAAATCCTGGTGCCCACTTTGGAACTTTTCATCAACATTACTATTATTACCCAATTTAACTTACTATGAATGGATTTTGGCGACTCTTTTACTGCTGTCTTGTCATCTAGAAATCCTCATGCCCACTTTGTAACTTTTCATCAACATTACTATTATTGCTCAATTTAACTTACTATGAATGGATTTTGGTGACTCTTACTGCTGTCTTGTCATCT